AATTTATTGCTCACAAACTTTTCTTTTTCTCCAATTTTTTTTCCAACTTTTTTTTCTATAAAACAACCTTAAACATTTAAAATGATTCATAGCTTTCGCTACCAAATAAATCGTACAATTTTTGAGGAATAAAAAAGTTATTCCAAAAAATTTTCATGTTAAAAGGAAAAAAAACTTATCACTCACAATAATCTTACATTTGATTTTAAAAAATTTTTTGTTGATTTGATCAAAAATTTTCCGATCCATAAAAGTAATTAATCAGTAAAACTGTTCGAGAATTCTTTTCCTTTTTTCTTCCGTTTTTTTTCCTTTATTTACATTTTTACATAAATTTTTATTTGAAAAAAGTATCAATCGTAAAAATTCAATTTGTTAATTTTCCTTTCTTTTTTCTTTTCCTTTACCAAAAATAAAAATTGCAACAGAAAAAATAATTATTGCAAGATAGGAAAAAAAAAGCAAACAAACATAATTAGAGTGAAAACTTTAATTTTAATTATTGTTTAATGAATTAGAAGGGAGGAGTGGGATGATGAAAAATGATGAGTAAGTGAGAGTGAAATGAAATTCAGAAAATTAAGTTTTGTTAATCGGATAGATTTAATAGAAAAAATTTAATTAAATTTAATAATTTAGTTGAATTCAAATTTCTTTTTTTTAAAGAAAAAGACGAAACTTCCAAAAATAACATTTTTTTTTTATGAATTTATGTATATCACTAACAAATTAAACTCTTTTTGATATGTCACTTTTTTTTTTGTTGAAATAATCAATATCTTTATTTTTTGTTTTTCTTCGTTTTTTTTTTCTGTTTACAATTTTTAATTTAAACGTTTAATTTTTTAAATCTGCTAAAATTTAATCGTTGAATTTATCAAATTATTACATTTGCTTGTCATATATTAATGAGATTTGCAATATTTATTTCGTTGTTAATAATATGGCGTAATTTCAGTGTGTAATTATCGCCATGGATACAAAATAGATGTCATCCAATATTCAAACTCTATGAGAAAAAAAAATGAGCTATAATTTTAATTAATGTTGACGCGAACAAGAGAAAAATTCCTTCTCTTCTTATACTTCATTTCAGTGGTAAGTTAATTATTGATCTGATGCATTTGCATTAGCAAAAATGATAATTATGGTGGTAAAAAT